CGCATGTACCGCCGCAATAATGCAGTCTTTCACGCTTCTGCTGTCAAACGGTTCCACCCAAATGACGACTCCAAATTCCCCGGAAGAACCCACTCTCGACCCGCACCTATCATCATTGAAAAGAAGGATGAATGGGAAGTTGAAGAAATCCGAGACCACCGCCTTTGGCATGGAAACGATCAATTCCTAGTCAAATGGAAAGGATATCCAATGAGCGAAAACAGTTGGGAACCACTAGAGGGACTAGAGCACGCTATGGATATGGTGAACAAATGGTGGAAAGACAACATGCCAAACGAATCCCTCCCCCCAACAATCAATTATATCACCATGTGCTGGACACCTACATTGCCAGAAACTGAGCGATGGCACGCAGAACTCGAAGCTAGAGATGGATTTTGGGCACCACACTTTGAGTCGGAGTTTGAAAGCAGCGATGAAGAGAATCAAGCTATGGAGCAGGCCCTCGACAACCTTATCTAGTCACCAATCACCATCCGAATACCATAACGATGTCAAACTATGTGGAACTCAATGTGAGGCAGCGACAACAGGTTGTTGGACTGTTGTTGAACCGCGATGCTATCCAACTTGAAGACTACTTCGAAATTCTCTGGATTGACTACTGTCCTGATTGTGATCACGCTTGGGTTGACGTACAGCACGAATCTGGTATTCGTGACTACTGTGATTTAGATTTCTTTGAGTCTAAATGTTTCCTTAGAGTTTCCTCTTGTCCTTGGTGCGATACCTATGATGAAGAGTTTTTGGCGGAAACTGAAGCCATGAGTTTCTCGGAATCCGCTTTTGATGATTATTAGGTTTTGTTTGTTTAAACAGTTGTTTTGTTTTGGGGAATGTAACCGGTACGGGTACTTGGTTATTGGTTTGTTTTAAGTATCGTTTGATACTTGGTTTTGTTTTATGTTTTGTTTTAAGTATCGCTTTGATACTTGGTTTGTTTTAAGTATCGTTTGATACTTGGTTTTGTTTTATGTTTTGTTTTAAGTATCGTTTGATACTTGGTTTGTTTTAAGTATCGTCTGATACTTGATTTTGTTTTATGTTTTGTTTTAAGTATCGCTTTGATACTTAAAGAGTTTTACCAAAGTGTATCGATTGATACCTTTGATTAGTTTCGTTCATGCTAGACATGAACAGATTTGTGTATTTAAAGACCGCCTGTTTCTACGATAGAAAAGGCAGACTTCGACAGACAGTATTTCAATATACTTGGTTGAACGGTTACTTCTTTGTTCCTCAGTACGCCCTCGAAGCCTCCTTTAGTTCTCAGCTCTCGCCTCCTCTCTGGAAGAGCAGGTCACCTGACGAACTATCGTATCCATTATCGATAACGTGATTAGCACCTTGCGAACACGTTACATTTCCTCCTCTCCCTGCTCTCATCTGGAACTCCTTCACTCCTATTAATTGCAGTTATGCAATAGTTAACCTCCATCAATACTCTGACTTTTATAGATATATTGACTAGAAACTTACCATTCTGCTCTTCTACTTCTTCACAATTGATATCTCCCTGCACAGAACTATGGACTGCTTCTACTTATTCCCGATTAACTGTACTTCGAGGCCAACCTCCAAGTCGGCCAGCAGTACGACTTTGTTGAATACGCTTTTTGACTCTAGTCATCTTGCATTTATTGATCTCAGTTGGTAATATCTTAGTTATCACTTGCTTGCATATCACATATTAGTATAGCTATATGATTTTTCATTATTCAAACTTTCACTATTTACTATGGTAGTAACCAGATTCATGTTGCATTTCAATGCCAAGACTACTAATCTTTCACCAAATTTCCAACTTTTCAAACAAGTATACTATTCATTCAGCTTATGTTTACAAATTAAAAAAAACCGTACTTTTGTTCGACTTAGTGCCTTCTATATCTGCGCGGTTTTTTTCAAGTTATTTAGACCAGTATTGGGTTAGTTATACTTGTTTGAAGATACCCCTAAATGAGGTTCACACTTATCCGTTGATGCACCTATAACGCCAGCGATACATTTACTTAGCCTACCCTCACAACCCCTTCACCCTACACCCGGCTATTTGGAAGGCCAGAGTTCGACCACATCCTTTCAGAACTTACAGAGGCCTAGTGAGCGAATCTGAGGATTTCATGGTTGAACCTCTGAAAATGCCCAAACCTATTCCCAAACTGGGGTAAACCCGTCCCGAAAACAGCGCTTATGTACAAGTGTGATACGATGATTTTATCATACCCGACCTAACATTCCTATGCTCTTCAACCTCCCCCATCCAGCCACAAATCTATGCGTATCCAGCAATTACATACCCAATACTCAATGTATCCGCTAATTCAATCTTCAACTTACAGAAGACCGGGCGTCTAGAACTAGACACGCCCCCACTGACTAGCGGGGTCAGGGTAGAGCGCAACAAGAATCGTGAACGCGTCCGGCCTTGTGGAGAATACCGATGGTCGAGGGTGAATTTGCACGGATGCGGCGGGTATATAAGCTTGGTGGCTGGAGAGATAAATCACCCTAGTATAATATCCCGTAACTCTTCTATAAAATAACAAAAACCGTGCAAAGTCCGGAGGATCTAATAGGGTCGCTGCCCTGTGTACACAATTCGGCATTACGTTTTATTACTTTCTTCCTAGGACAGGACCTCCACCAGCCACCAACATCGCGGCAACGCCGGCAAGGCGGGCGGAATAAAAGCAAGGAATGAAGAAAGATTGACATTCATAACACAACAACGAGAAGAAACTGTACAGTTGGCCAACGCCTACTGGAGCAAATCTAATTCTCGGGGTCTGGAATGCGGTCTTGCTAGTTTGGTAGTGCCTTACGATCCCAAGCGCAACAGGGCGAGCAAATACAAGTGGGAGAATACGGACCGTAGGGAAATGCACCGGACTTGGGTGAAAGCACGGGGGTGTGTTGAGATGGTTTGGAGGGTTGGAGGGTGGATAGGTCGATGGACCGGTATTCAGGAGTTGGTTCTGTATCGCAGCAGTGGGGATCCATAGATGTGGGTGGATGGAGTGTGTTGGTCCTGGTTGGGTTTTTAAATGTTGGTGAAGTTCTCTCGGTCTTAATTCCTGGAGAGGGCTCGGAAGTGTCAGGGGAATGGGTCAGGGAAGTTGTGCAGCCAGGCAGCTATAGTGTACGGTACTTTCCCTTTGTCATTGGGTTGGTCAAACTCTGGCCTTTGCCATACTCTATCGAGTAGTTCCATCCCTATCCTTGCCTCTTCCGACCTTAACCATTTATGCCACCGGATCAAAGTTCCCCTTTTTCTCTTCTGATAGTACGGCGTCAGTAAAAAGAGAGAGACTTCATTCCGCCCAGACAGGCACATAACATATACTCAACAATCACGAGTGATAATTGGTGATATCTTGCCGAATAGAATCCGGTACTCTCCACCGTAATATACAAGCCCCATCGTGACCAAGATGGCAGCTTGTGGGATATGTTACAACGTTCGAGCCACCCGGAACAGGAATTCTCTACCCTTGCCTTGACCAGCCGGATAGATCTCCTACATCACTGCACCAATTCCCCGTGAAGGTATGCATGAGTGTATCAGTGACCCAAAACCGAAAATGGACTAAAAAGGATAGAGCAGAGCAGATAGCGAAAGTGGCAGGGCCAAACAAAGTATAGTAGAAACACCCTCATCCCCCCATGTGGTGGGATCCGAACAATTCCCTCGCCGTCGTCTTCACCCCCAAAGAATCCCCCGCGCTTTGTCTCCAACCTAGCCTATCACACCTCACTCCTCACCTCCCTCTCACGCTACGGCCCCTCCCCCCCATCCCTGTAAAAGCCGGAATTCAAGGTGACCTTGGAGGACTGCAGGATCCTGCCTTTGGATCACAGGGTCGGAGGAGGGACTTGCCGGGTCCGGATCCCGCACCAAGCGCGTTTCTCCACACTCGCGCCGTTGGCGGCGCCGGCCCGACGCCTGCATGCCCGGCCGGCCGCGGCGATCCGGCCTAGTTTTCCCTCGCTCGCGCAGTCACATCGGTGTGACCTGCCCACCCTCGTTCGCGCTTTCTTGTGGTCTCGGTGGGGGGGGAGGAGGGTAAGGTGGCAACCCGCACCAATCTTGAAGAAAATTTCCACCCATTATATTTCTCAGGGCTTGTTCGGTCCGTTGATTTTTTTTTTTTTTCTTCTTCTCCTGAATTGCCATCGTTGGGACATACAACCTAAGACGATCTGCAATTCAGGGATTTTCGAAAAAGATAGGGAGCGGTTGGTTGTGCGATCCTAGATTATTATTTTTTTTATCCCTGGAATAATCCTTACAAGCCATGGGGAAAAATTCCCCTTCCAGAACTCGAGTGTATCATAACACCACTCGATTCTCTTTGATTTCAAAGTTCTTCTGTTGCATGGAATGGGACCGGTGTTGAGCTGTCGTCGCGACAGAAATATTTCCCTTATTTAGCGCACTAAGGAAAAATAATTCAATATAGAACAACGACGAAGATTCCATGGAGTCTCAATCTATGGATCGGTTGCAACAAGGCATCCAAATAGGCTCTTTAGTCTTTTTGATAATCTTGTCACCTGTCGGTGCCCCGCGACCTTTCCCCCCGGTGATCTTGAAGATGACAACGCACTTTCCTAGCTCTAGCTTGAGCTCCGCTCTTACGCTTCGGGAGGTGCTGACTACTGGTCTTGAGTGTAATTGAACTATCATACTTGACAGACAGTAGAGCTCAGACTTCAAGGAAGGGACCCGTCGGAGCATCTACTGTGACAGCAAAAATCAGATTGGCGAGAACCTCTCTACCATACCCCCGTTTACCAACACCGGTTGTCACTTTGTGGGAGATCAGTTTTGTGTACGGTACTGAGATTCATTTGATTTTTTAAGCTACTATAGATAAAGATGGGGGAATATAGGAATAAGCGATAAAAGCAAAACATGTCCACACCAACAGTGTATGTTTAGGAATAAACTGAGCAAACACCGAGCACCCCAGTCGCTACAGAAACGAAAATTTCTTCGGGCCCGGACGTTTCCTGAACAGGATTTTCTGCCTTCTATCGGGATAAGAAAACTCCCCCATCTGGATGTTGGGAGGGCGGGATTGACCCTCAGGGTACTTGATATCATACTGCAAGAGCATGAAAGCGAGCATGATCTTCATCACCTCAACAACGAAGTAGCGACCGGGGCACGCATGCCTTCCGTAACTAAATATGAGGTTGGTGGGGGAGGTGTTGGATGCGTTGTTGTTATCTACCGCGCGATCCGCAACTCCGAGAGACTTTTTGTACCAACGGAACCCATCGAATACCTCAGGGTCCTCAACAAAACCCGGATCGGAAGAGAATATTGCGGCAGGGGCAGCCACCAGAGTCCCTTTGGGTAAGTAGGTGCCATCGGAGAGGGTCATGTTTTTCATAATCATGCGATTGAAACCAACTTCAGAAGAAAAATTAGGTACCCGGAAGTGAGAGAAAAAAAGGGAGTGGTTTACTTACGGAGGGAAAGCTTTGTCCTAAAGGATTCCCTGAGAAAGCTATCGGTCTTTCTCATCTTGCGTAGCGTCGCCCTATCCAACACTCCTCCATTTGCGGCAATTAGGGTTTCCATCTCCTCACGGATCGGTTGAATGCACTCCTGATGCTCGGCGAGGTCGAAAATCATGTTGGTGAAGCCGGTACCTGTTGTATGAATTGACGCCAGGCCAGTCATCAGCTGCATCCCGGACAGGACATTGACGTTCTTGTGATCCGGCGTAACGCGAGCCGTGAGCCATTGAAGGAGGTCTCGGTGATTCTGACGAACGGTTCCATTCTTTTCCGCCAGTCCCTCTTCTTCAAGGCGCCTTTGGATGACAGGAGCGAGGAGTGACTGCGCCTTTCTTTTATTCGACTTGACACTCCCGGCTGAATTCCAAATATAGGCAAAGAATGGACGGAGTAATTTTGGCACAGGGGTGAGCTTATTGACCTCTTGGAAGACATCCGTGGTGAAAGCGATTGAGAGAGCTAACCAATCCTCGTTGCGGCACAAAGGAAGCCCAATGAAAGCCCTCCCGCTAATACGAGCCACGGCCCTTAGGGCGACAGCGGGAATGTCCACCGACACCCATTCTGTGGTGGTGAGCGTTATCAGCATCTTCCCTGAGAAAATAGAAACGGTCTCCGAAGAAATACCGACCATCGGTAGCAAATCCCGGAAGCTCAGTACGCAGGGCGAATTGTGCCTCTTCTAGTAGATCCCCAATCATATTCCCTATTGGTTGAATTTTCATCAGTGTCTCTGAACCTAATTATTGATAGAGCTCCGCGAGTTTGGGGAAGAGTATCCACGTAGGTGGTTTTTTCCCTCTCATTCTGATCTCAGTTGAAACGACCGCAGGGATTCAGGTGTTTTACAAAACCGCCCGAATAACCTTTTCGCACACGGCAAGTTTGTTTTCTTAAGGAGTCAATTACCTAGATTTTTATTGAGTTCAGCTTTCACCGCCTCCCGAACATAGTGGATTCCCACAAAGCCACTCAATCCAGTATGTTGTGCCATCATGGTCTCCATCAGTGCGCACGATCAGCGCTAGTATCCTCGGGGGTAACATTTAGAGAAATGGTGACCTACCTGCGCAGAAGAATGAGACATGCTAACAGTATCATCCGGCGCATTAGAGAGCTCCTTGACTTGGTTATACGTAAGGATAACCTTTTCGTTGCTGTTGGTTGTAATAACAAAGTTTTTTCCATAGTGCTAGTAAGGTTAAATATTGTTAACACCTTGCTTTGTCATAGAAGTTGGCTGATTTTAAGATAGATGGTGACGAGTAATTGAGCGAGCTAGTTGAAGACTAACCTTGTAATAAGCATCCCTCACTATTTGGAATCCATGAGAGACAAACTTTCGCCTTGCTTTGACTCGTGCTAAATAGCCCGGGGATTCAACTCCGACAATTGGAAGATTTGTAGGGCCGTGAATTGACCATTCCTTGAACAAAAGGAGGAAGATTCCTAGGGAAAGCAGTGCAAGAGTTGTACCGAAAATAGGGTAGCCATAAAGATTCTTGACCTCGCCTGAATCGACGAGATGTATAAAGATACCCATGATTCCCTGTGTAAGTCGATTGTCACTTGGGGAGACCAAGAGAAGCAGAAAACCTCGGGCCGGGGGAGAGGGGGAAGATTAAGAATGATTCCCGCTTTGAAGGCAGAGCTCTGAGTGGGACAGTTATGCCTTGGGCGGTCTGGGATTATTATTGTTATTCGTTGCCACGCATGATAGGCTTGTTTGTGAAAGATTGGGTGTTGGGATTTGGTAAGAATGTTTGAGCCGATCCCAAGTGCTGAGTCATTCAAGTACCTCAAAGAGTGAAAGGTATCTATACAATTTTCTGACCAAGTAGAGCAAACTGCCGCTCATTCTAGCGTTCGTGCACCTAACACCGAATCGGGAGACGGCCGGGAATACCGAACCGGAGAGGACCACGAAGCACTCGTGCAGCCCACAGTCCTGCGAATCTAAAGGATAGGCCATAGCCCGGCAAGGTGAAATATTAATTGCAGCCTTGTAGCTGGAGCGCAGGAGCCGGTATCCCGTGGTACATATGCGGAGGAAACTGAAGTGCTGGGAATTTTCCACCTCTTCCTTTCAGCTTTCTCCACCACCCAAGCATTGCTTCTTTGTTAACTCAGCTGTGCTACCGGGCTTTGGCCTGTATTGAATCAAGAGTTGTGCTTTCTGCCTTGTTACATTATCAGAGGTCGATATCATGGGAAATCACATGCTGGTTCTCATTCGCATTCGCGCTTATGAATGACAACACACAATACGAGCTACAGACAAGGGTCACAAGTCCTACCCTTTAGCCACATGCCAGGCGTGCTGGCCCCACATTCTAAGACTTGAATGGACCTAGAGTGGGGCCGCCGTCTTTCCCAATCCTTATACAATAACGCCTAGGACAAAGTTCTCCCCGGAGCCGGATGGATTGAAATTTTCGCAGTAGTCTGCATCACCCTCCCCGGGTTCTCAGGATCGAGGGACTGCCCGTTTCAAAACATGAGTTAATGCAATCGGAGAAGAGACGGAGCCGGAGGGTGGATCCAAGTGGTAAACAAGAAAACTAAAGGCATAGTGCGTAATGGTTAGTCGTGGCAAAGACGCCAAACAGATGGAGGGGTACTCGGGTAAACAAACCGCAGGTATTCATTTTCCAGGCAGCCAGATACTCGCGAATTTCGCAAGTATCATCTTGATACTTGATGCCAAGCCCTTCCAAAGCGCAAAGCCAAAAACGCAAAAAAAAAAAAGAAAGAATTAGCTGTGACCTTGATTCGAGTAATTGGACAATCAAAAAAATAATCCTGAGATTTAGCACTTTTTTTTTTTCTCTCCTCTGAAATCTACTTCTCGGCAGCTCCCACGCGTCGAGTCTTGCGGTCACATGCAGAGCCGGACGTGTTCACAAACGTCGAAAAAATTACGAATGGAAGGTCTCGACAGTAGGAAAGTAGCAGGCAGGGTGTGGACGAGAACGAGTACGAATACCGGTTAGCCTCCAAGCGGGTTTACCCATAACTGACTACTGGTAAAGGGGCGCCACCGATCTGACATATGGCGCACCAATCGCATTACATCCATGAGGTGAGCCAACTCTAACCCGCTGATCCCGCTATGCATGAGGAGTGCCACCCGCTTTGTACGAGTACTCGAGTAGTCGAGAATTCCCTGCTCGGTTAAGGGGCCAAAGGGGAAGAGAAAAAGAAAGAGAAAAAAAGGAGATACTCAACCCCTCCGAGAAATAAAATGAATACCTGTAACAGAGAAGTTTGTTTGGTTATCCTAATTCTTAGGGTAATAATTGGCTTTGGAATATTGTCTGTGCGTATCTGACCGCCCATACAAGTACAAAATTCGGACACAAATGTTCAGGTTCTATGCTTGTCACTTGGATATGCCTGTCACTTGCAGAGATCGTTGCCAAGGGGGGGGGGTGTTACCCTGAAGAAGGCGGAGGGACTATAATTAGTATATAATAAGGCAAGGACTCCTCATAATTTGTCGCACAAAAGCATATATGGTTGACTAAAAATTTATCGTAACGATGCACAAAGCCCTGTGCTCGGAATGAAGTGGGGGGGCTTTGAGTTCATCGACCGTATTACAGGTATGTTAAGGCGAAGCGGGTCGGGAAGGAGAAGTCTCGGTAAGTGCGAAATACATTTCTCCGCATGATAAGGATCCTCCGCCCCTCTTTACTGTAGCATCGGTCCCCAGTTCCGGGTGGCGGCGGTTGGCTTATCAAGGAATACTGCTTGTAGAGTGCCGTTACTGAGTACTGTACTCGTACAGTACTAGCGGGGCCGAAGCCGGAACGCCCCCCATAATAAATAGTACCGATCTCTGAGCCAATAAATTGACGTCCCCAAAGCGCCAAGCCGGGGGACGCCATTATACAACGTGGTAGAAAATATGTTGTAGCATAGCATGAGAGGCCTGGTGCTTCGTGGTGGAAATAAATTCGGTGGCTAGATTCCAGGTTATGATACATTGGGGCGCTAGAGTTTGCCGGATGATGTACTGGTACAGTACTAGCCGATCTCAAAAGTATTCGGACCCCTTGGCGCCAAGCCTCATACAAATTCGCGCCAAGTTGTCTGAATACTTTTGAAATCGGCTAGTACTGTACCCTATGTACTGTACTCATACAGTACCCGGTAATACAGATTTTTTTGTATCGCACTTGATTATTAATCGTGTTGCTCTTGACGGGCCCATTATTTGTTCGGCGATCGCTACAATATGAGGTTGTCCTGCTTCAATTTGGCCACGCGAGTCTTCTCCTAGACTACTGTGCTCCGGCACACATGTTTGAATGTAAATTAAGGAAGCCCGCGGCGAGTACTAGTACTCACGTAAGGAGTGGTTGAAGAGCGCGCTAAGACCAGTGCTCCGAGAGCCTCAACTCACCACCAGAAAAATAAAACGCAACTTCAATCCGACGACTTGAGTGATTTCTCCGCCCACTTGTCTCCTGTCCGATACGCCCGCGACCAAATTCCTTTGTAGTCCCGAGTTACTGGTAACCTACCGCTGTATTTCACTTCAGTCTGATAGTACGGTACTGTGGGAGTTTACTGGGGCATTTATAGGAGCCCGTTATTGCTAATGCCGAGGATGGAAGATCGGCGGACGGATAGGCGATTGTGCATCAGATGGGAGATGGCTAGAGGCATCGATTGGCGTTGCTTGGAAGGATGCGTAGAGGTAAAGGAGTAAGAGTGATGGAGCAAAAGCGAGAAATATCTGGAAAGTCGGAAGTAAAGGTAGAGGTTTCTGGTCATTGGGAATTGTTAGCTGTCTGTCTCCTTATGGGGGATTGCGGAGAATAGTTTCATGTTTTGCTTTGATGGAAGATTGTGGAACGGAAGAGACTCATGTGGTGGTGTGTAGACTTTACAAGAAGGGCATCGGGTGAATCGTTTTGGCCTACCGTAGCACTATACTTCACAGGTTCAGCATCCAACATCAGCGTCGCATAGGTGCGGCAGTCCATGCAATTCCGCCGTAGAGTAACTACTTGAGTAGAGTAATTGGACCTCGCGATAAGGCGTCTATAATTTCCTCCTTAGCATTAGAGGGGGGGGAGACAGACGGGAAAGATGGCTTTCGAGTGAGACAGGTATCGTACAGTCGCACCCTGCTTCCGGTATCCCGGATGGCCAAATATCCTGGATTTCATCCGGGACAACGGGGTATTAGGGTCAACAGAGAGAGGGAGTTTGTGTTATCTTTATCTGGGGAGATAGCGGAGAATTATTTCTATTCTTGTGAGAAGCTGTGCCTTACTTCGTATTTGCAATTAGTGGTAACACTTTAGCCATCCATCTGGTAGTCGCGTATGTGCGATGGCATGTTCTTCGTCCTCCTCCGGATCACTGCTATATTGCGATATATCATACTCTCCCTTCATGTTCCAGCTCAACTCCAACCCCCCCGCAATACCCTTCTCCCTTTTCCTCATCCTTGTTCGGCTCCGGGGGTGACCACCAAGTCTAGGTCTTTTTTTTAGGGGGATACCCGAGGCCTCGGAAGTGTCCTTCCTCGGTTGGCGATGGGATTCTCGGGTTTCTAGGTTGAGAACTTATCCCAGTAATCTCTTAGACGCAATGATGAGCTATAATACTCGGGTATGGACGTGGGTGACCAGATGCGCCGGGATTATGGACTTAAGGGCATATGCTCGTGCACTAGCAAGACATCCTTGAAGTAGAAGAGTATTTTAGTGTTCATAGCCAAAGACATTCGGTGAGGACAAGGGTTGAGCATAGATAAAATACTGTAAGAATGTCTCGCCGGCGCACGAGCATGCTTTCCAATCTCTTTAATCCCAAGGCATCAGGTCACCCACACCCATACCCGAGTACCGGTATGGGACACCTCCACCACCATGCTTCTCAAATACGATTGAGTAAAATAAATGAGTAAGTGCTATCTTGACTTGTGTTGCCAGTGCGCCTAAGTTCATCTCGAGTACTGTACTCGAATACAAGGAAGGGTGTGAATCCATGTCCCTCTGATGCGGGGTATGTTGGGAACACGGATGTGCACAAGAGTCCTCAAAATAGCGGTACCGGTACGGCACCATACACGGTTCTTGACCAAGCTTTAGTTGAGCGGATCTGGTTATGGTAAAACGCAACCATGGATAGTCTGTGCTTACCTATCTTCAGTCTGAACTGCATCTGATTTCCCGGCATTCTTACGATGCGGATGTTTCCAGACGCGACTCTAGAATACCGGTGTGGTTATTATTCGGCGGCTTCCCGTTCCGGGTGGTGGATAGACCATGCACACTTGTGCCGAAGGGATGCAGCTTGTGACCTCCTTGGTATACTGGAAGGTAATGATAGAACTGACTCCAGATAGAACAGGCGTAATGTTGTCGAGATAGCAAGAGCAAATAAAACGAGGTTCAACGGACGTGGAGTAAAGGTTGAATCGAGCGCCAAAAGAGGGTGTGGTGTACGAGTCTAGCTAAGAAAACATAAAGGCACTCAACGTGCAGAAAATTCTTTGTGCCTAGCCCTCCACTAAAATGAGAC